ACCATTCCCTTTCCGTCCTTCTCTATTCCTTTCTTTGGCAGAGAGGAAGCCCACATGGACCCCTGGCTTCTGGAAAGCAATTCTCCACCTGAACAAGCAATCAGTTGAAGCAGAGAATCCATGAACAATACATAAGCAAAAAATCTTCTCCTTCTTGTATCTTCAAGGAGGAGTCCCCAACCATTTTGCTGAGAAGAGATGGCTAGTACTTATTTTTCTAAGGCGTCGTAATGTGTAAGGGGCGGGTGAGGATTAGGCCTACCCGCTTCTCACTAGAAATGCCAGAGTTGGCTGTGGCAGCAGCTGTTTTACTGTTGGCTTCTGCAGGACCTTTCTTTGAACCTGGTGGGAATGCCTGCCCCACAGAGCATAAGAAGGGTTGGGAAACCAACAGCCAGATAAACAATTCATAATCTTGGTTTTTGTCATTACTCAGAATCCCTACTTTAAACCTATGTCACCACCTCAATCCCCAGAAAGGGGCTGGAGTGGGTCTGCCTTGGGCTGGCCTGTAGTGTGTGGAGTTTGGGCTCCCTGCAGGAAAGATTTCACAATGGGAGTCCAGGCGATTTGGAGAGTAGGGTTACTAAAGCTTGCTTCTTCTATCCTAAGCCCTTCTTTGTTTCACTGTCCCCAGCTTTAATAAACATACTCTGAGGTCACTCCCACACAAAGACAAAAACCCATACACAACAGGCCGGCCCAAGGTAGACCTGCTCCAGGCTGGCCCCTTTCCGATAGCATCTAGAAATGCTATAGGACAGAAGTGAGCCACGCTGGGCTGTGTGGACTCACTGAAAAGTAAAAGTCACAGTTGAAGAAGTTAGCCAAGGTGGGGCTGCTATTAGCTAGATGAAAAGTCAGAGAAAAGGGGGCCTTGGAGACAGGTTCAGGGGGTTAGCCCAGGATGAGCTGTCACTGCCTGATGCTCCTCTGGTTGCAAGTTTCCTGGGGCCCTTTAGAGTTTAGGAGAAAAAAATAAAGATGCCCTCCTGAGACAGAAGCAAGGCATGGGCATGCTCCAGATAGAACCCAAACTGGGTCTTTGTCTTGAGGGTTCTTATCTGTTTTTTAAAGGCAGAGAATTTTATGAGAGGCCTTAGGAGAAGATCTCAGTAGATTATTCATCAGCTTTATGTTGATGTGCCCAAATGACATTTATTCCCCTGATTTCATCCGTCCTTGGGTGTAGCTGGCACAAATGGCACTAATTGTATTTCTGTTATTTCTCTCCCTGACTAGGGTGATTTAAGCTATTTACTCTCTCATTGGGGAGAAGAAGTGAAAACCATTTACTCTAAAGTATCCTTGGTCAGGGAAGATAGAATTTGGCAATTTACCAGGTGGCTATCAATGGCTTGGTCTTTTACCCATCTGTCTCAGTTTCCCTTTTCCATTTGTCCTGACTCACTAATCCGTTTCACCCAACTGGGAAACATTAGGGTTTTTTTCTCCCTCAGGAATCATACAAAGCTCACCCAGAATCAGAGAGACTATACACTGTGCTGGGACCTTGGAATCATTTTACCTCCTTTCTGCTGCTTGGCTCTAGTGCCAGCTCTAGCACTACTCTCATCTGTCAAATTTGCCAGAAGCTACCTTTGCCATGGTCTTCACGGGGAGAAAAAAGCCTTTCCTCTACCCTCTTATGGTCACTGGGGGCCTGTAAATTAAACTTAAAAAAAAAAAAAAAAAGCTAACTTAGCAACAGGAAAGATAGATTTTTACTCATATGCGTATGACAAATGGAAGAGTTCACAGAAAAATGTGACTTCAGAAAGCCCTTAGAATTTTGAGCTTATTTACTATCTTAATAGAAGGTGGGGAAGGGGAGAAGGGCAGTTACAGGAAAACAAATTACTTCCTAATTGGGGGGGGGGGGGGGGGGGGGGACTGAGGACGGGGGCAGGAGGGAGAAAGGACACTTAAGAGAAAGCAAATTACTTCTGGGAAAGATAAATGGGCCTTTGGGAGAATAGATGGGAGTTTTGCAACAATATCTCTTTGGGTGTGGTGCCCGCTTCTAGTCAATCTTCCTTGGTTTCAGAGAAGGGCTTCATGACAATTCCGTGCTTTTGGCAGGCTCATCATTTAGGTAGATAAGGATGTTTAAGGGCGGGAGGGGGGCCTATTCCGAAATGCCTTCAGTTCAAAATAATTTCTATGCTGCAGCGGCTATTCTGGGCCCCCTCAGCCTTATTCCAAGGATTGGCTGTTGATAAGATTTAATGGAGGGCTGTGTTGTGATTGCTGCTGGTACTCACTACAAATCCTTCCTATCTACTAATGCCTCAAGCCACTGCTACCTCTTGCTACACCTCACAGCAACAACTAACCACCTTCTTCTGGGGAACTCTTCTGGTCCTCCCCCTAGCCCCTGCTGCCCAGGAACCATTGTGGACTCTACTCCTGAAACCAATATTATTTCATCTCCAGATATACGTGGAGTTCTTTCCACCTGAAGGGTAGCTTTATTCTCTGGAGTGAGAGCTCCCCCTGTGGAGAGATTTGGACTAAATCGTACAGGCCCAGGGGTAGACTATTTGTCTTATTATTATTATTATTATTATTATTTAAAGTATTACATGTCTCCTTTTCCCCCTATTGACTCCCCCTCCTCCCCGCCACTCCCATCCCCAAGGGGAAGCCCCCACTGCCCCAGTGCTGTGTCCATTGGTTATGCTAATATGCATGCATACAAGTCCTTTGGTTGATCTCTAACCCTCCCTCCCCTGCCATTTGTCTCTGGATGGATTCTTGTTCATCAAATCATGTTGATCATTAAATCCTACATATGAGTGAGATCATGTGATATTTATCTTTCTCTGACTGCCAAAAGCACGGAATTGTCATGACTGGCTTATTTCGCTTAGCATAATGCTCTCCAGTTCCATCCATGCTGTTGCAAATGGTAAAAGTTCCTTCTTTTTTATAGTGGCGTAGTATTCCATTGTGTAGATGTACCACAGTTTTTTTAATCCTCTCATCTGCTGTTGGGCACTTAGGCTGTTTCCAAATCTTAGCTATTGTAAATTGTGCTGCTATGAACATAGGTGTGCATATATCCTTTCTGATTGGTGTTTCTGTTTTCTTGGGATAAATTCCTAGTAGTGGGATTACTGGGTCAAATGGGAGTTCTACTTTTAGTTTTTTGAGGAAACTCCATACTGTTATCCAGTGGCTGCACCAAGAGACTATTAGGTTGAGTTTCCAACTGTAACTAAGTCTTTAGTTGAGATTCCAACTCTAATTTAAGATTATATTGACTTAAGAATTAGCAAAAGACATACAACCCTATTGTGAAATGGGGAATGGACTTGAATAGACAGTTTTACAAAGAAGATATACAAATGGTCAATAAGCAAAAGATGCTCAAATCATTAATCATCATGGAAATGTAAATCAAAACTGCAAGATACCATTTCACAACCACTAGGATGGCTATAATGAAAATGTCAGATAATAAAAGTATTGGCAAGGATCTGGAGAAATCAGAATCCTCATATAATGCTGGTAGGAGTGTAAAATGAGGCAGCTACTGTAGAAAGTTATTCACATTATTTAACATAGAGTTACCATGTGCTCCAGCAATTTCACTCCTATAGATATAGATACAGATAGAGATAGAGATATATGCAAGAGAAGTAGCAGCATCATTCATAATAGCCAAAAGTTGGAAACAACCTCTTGATGAATGGGAAAACAAAATACAATATCCATATAATGCAATGTTATTGGACCATTAAAAAAAGTACAAATACATGCTGTAATATGGATAAAGACTGAAAATATTATGCTAAGTGAAAGAAGCTTGTCATAGAACATCAAGCATAGGATTCCATTTATACTAAATGCCCATAATACCGTAGCTCTATAGAGACAAAAAGATTAGTGGTTGGCTAGGGCTGGAGGAATTGGGACTGATAGCTGAAAGGAAGAGGGTTTTTGGGGGGAGTGGTGCACATGTTCTCGAATTGTGATTGTTGTACAATTCTGCAAATATACTAAAAACCATGGAACGAACACTTCAAATGGGTGACGTATATGTGAGTTATACCCCAATAAATAAATAATCCGGGCTTGCTCTGTGTGTCCTGCTCCTTCCTTGGAGGTCTCTGAGAGATGGAGGAAGCTCAGTCTGAAGCGAGACAGATTAAATTCCAATCCTGCTTCTGTATCCTAGCAGCTACTTCTGTCCTCAAGAGCAACATCAACATTGGGATCCTGGAAACATTGTAATGTGTAACAATACATACACACTAGAGGCCCAGCACCAGTGCATGATGGGGCGGGGAGGGGCCTGGGAGGGCTCCAGGGCGAGACAGGCCAGTCTCGCTCAAACCCTATCGGCTGGACCCCAGCAGCAAGCTAACCTACCGGACAGCGCGTCTGCCCCCTTGTGGTCAGTGCGTGTCATAGCGACTGGTCAACCAGTCGGAGGGGCACTTAGCCTATTAGGCTTTTATTCTAGGATTAGGGTTAATGATGTATAGTGTCTGATACACAAACGCTCAATAAACTCTATTGTTTGTGTGTGCAACACTGCATACGTGTATATACACACACGAACATGGGGCGTTAAGAGAGGTTCTGGAGGAACCTGATCTGGGCCCGACTCCCATGTCTCTCAGGCCCCGGAGCAGCAGCGAGGCAGCAGCGCAGCCCACCAACTGCAGAGAAGGACAAGTCCGGCACACGGGGGCGGAGGAATGGGAAAGAGGGAGGCCCATGGGCGTGTGGAGGCCGCCCCAGCTAGCAGACAGGGATGCTACATAACTTTGGGGGCCGGGAACCAAAGCCGACCAGAGGTGGGGGGGATAGGTATCCACAATCGCTCCCCGCCCCGCCCTAGTAGAGAACAATGAGCTCAGCCCCACACACGGAGGCTCTCGGCGCACCTGACCCGGAGCCTGCCGGGAAATGTAGTGTCTGAAGCTCCGCCTGCGCAGACCCGCCGTCTGCCGGCCAGGCCACGTGCAACTACAAGTCCCATTATGCTGCGCGAGACCTTGATCCTCCGGCTTTTGCAGGCGAGGGAGTGGGGAGAACATGGCTGAAAGCAGTCAGGGCGTCCCAACGAGCAGCGGGGTTTGCAGCGAGCAGGACCCGGTCGCCAGCAGTGGCGGCTGCAACTTCCCAGAGTACGAGATGCCGGAGCTGAACACACGCGCTTTCCACGTGGGCGCCTTCGGGGAGCTGTGGCGTGACCGGCTGCGCGGGCAAGGGGATCTGTCGCTGAAGGAGCCTCCGGCATCCGAGCTGCCTGGGGAAGGAGGGGTCGCCGACCCCGACTGGGACGATGCCGCGGTGGCACGGGATCTGGGCTGCGATCTGGAGGCAGCGACCGAGCTGAGGGCAGTTTGCGGGTGAGTGCGGGGCCGAGGGGCTCTTGTTTGGTACCAACCCGGGCGCTGCTGGGCTCCTGCGCTCCCTGGGGCCCTTGCTTGGGGGTGGGGATGCCAGAGGCTTACTCCGGGGGTCGGAGGAGGACCGCCCTTTCAAAGCTTTCGACCTGCGGGAGCTTTCCCGGAACACCGGGAGGGGGCCAGTGATCCGAATGCATAATTCCTCCGCGTTGGAGGGAAGGGCCGAGAGAGCTGCCTAAAAGATTGATTTTTTCTAGTCGCTTTTTATTCAAGTGCTTGTTAATGTAGAAAAGCAATTAGAGTCACAGCGACGTGCGCCTACCCTTGACAGGTGCTTTGGCCGTGGAGGAACCGTAGTAACGGTACGGCTGGAGGATAGAACCGGAGGAGTGTTAAAACCTTGATTCACTGTGGTCTCTTCGGGGACCTTCCCGGTATGCTATTGCTGAAATTTTCTCCCCCGCGGCCTTGTTTGGAGTGAAAATACACAAATGACATTTAAAAGATATTTTTCTTCCTCCATTGAACAGTGTTGGCCTCCTTTAATTTGCCATGCATGCTTTTATTTATAGAATATCCGCGCCGATGGTGCCTTGAATTCTGGCCTCCTCCGAGCGCCTGCTGGATTTTTTATCTCCCTTAATTAGCTGGCGATGTATTTGGGGCACTGCCCTGACTCACTAGGAACAAGATGCATGATTGCTTTCCTTTTTTTGTTTGTTTGTTTATTTTAGCCTCGATAAACTGCAGTGCCTCGAGGAGGACGAGGACCCAGAAGTCATCCCACAGGATACTGACCTAGTGACTTTGGGGTATGGAGGACCTTGCTTTTATTATATGCTATTTTATTTAAATGTTTTTCAACATTATTCAAAGGTTGATTGTTGTCGTCCTGTCTCCTCAATTCAACCATCATTAACATTTTGTCTTATTTGCTTAACTATGTGCCCTTTTCTACTGCTAAACCCATTCAGTTGCAGATAGCCTATAGCTCCGAAAAGTATCATTCTCCTACATAGAGTGGGATTATAGCAACTGAGAAAATTAACAGTAAATACATATGTTATCTAGCCCATATTCACTTTTGTGTTTATTTTTAAAGGTACAACAATCTACCTAGATATCAGATGCAAGCTAAATATTTTGGTAGTGCCTCTCAAACTGCCTGTTTTGTTTGTTTTTAAATTTTTGACATCCATACTTTTGTAAAATAGGAAAAAATGAATTGCTAGAAAAATGGGATTAAAAGATAAATGCAATAAAAGTCCAAAAGTTCGGGTAGGCATTTTTTTTTTAATATATATATTTTTTTATTGCTTAAAGAATTACAAAGAGTATTACATATGTGTCTTTTTTTTTCTCCCCCGCTGTAGTTTGACAGTCAGGTAGGCATTTTAACTCTGCCTTTTTCTTTTTCTTTTTTGAAACAAACAAATCTGTTTCCCTTCCCTACTGCTAATATTTACCTTAGCAACCTTCGGAGCGCCATGGAAGGCTCCTGTCCGATATATTCTTCGTGCTATCATCCGAACAAGCTCATTTACTAAGAAATTGTCAATGGCTCTCCCCTCTTTAATGGACATATTTCAGACTCCTTCCTTAGACCTTTGAAACCTTCCACTTATAAAGCTCAAATTTGCCTTCCAGATTCATTTTCAGTCACTTTCCTCTTTCAGATGTCAGGATGCACATGGCCCCTGTCCCATCTGCAACTACCCCATCTTTGAGGCCCTAAGATGACTTTCCCCATTACTAAAACCCATCTCTGTGCCTTCTGGAATGTCTAGAAACACTTCTAACATTTCTAAAGTCTTCGAAGACACGTTTGGGAATCCAGGCTCTTTCATCTGTGTATTGCCCTTAAGCTTATTATGCTGCTTTGCTCCCATTTGTGCTCTGTAACTATTGTTGATTGATTGGTTAGCTTTTTCTGAACTGCACATCTGGTGTGTCACTTTCCCTGCAAACCTTTCAGTGGCTTTTAGGCGGAAGTCCTGGTTCTTAAGTGGCTCACAAGGGCCTCTAGAGAATGGGTCTTGCTGATCTTTTCAGCTGTCTCTGCAGTGCTCCAGCCACAGTATAGCTCGTTTTCCGTTCCTGCAGTGTGCTCTCTGCTGGCCTTTGCCTACCACACTTACTGTTCTTTGATAGGCCAAGGTTGCAGGCTTAGTCCCCAGGGAGGGCACATATAATATAAATCAACCAATGAATGCATAAGTAATTAAAATAAAAAGTTGATGTTTTTGTTTCTCTATATATACCTCTGTCTTCCTTCTTTCTGTCACCCGCCTCTCCCCCTCTACCCACTCTCCAAAAATCAATAAATAAAAAAATTTTAATTAAATTTAAAAAAGAATTTATTATAATAGGATACAAAATTGATACATGAAAAGCAATATCCTTCATGTACACAAACAACAATTAGAGGACATAATGGTAGAGAAAATCCCATTTACAGTAGTCAAAAAGGTTAAATATTTAGGAATAATTTTAATAAGAAATGTGTAAAATTTAGGAAACACAAATAAGGAAAATTTCAAAAACACTCCTGAAAGACTCAAAAAAAAAAAAGACTTGAAAAAGTTGAAAGATATCCTTTGTTCTTGAGGAATATTAAACATTGTAATGATGTCAGTTATTTCTAAGTTCATTTATAAATG